ACACTCGCTACCGACACAGCCCTGACCTTTATTTTTTTTCCTGAGTGCCCTGTATATGCTGGGCATCTCCGATTTGGCCCGCGATGACACTTTCAGTCTGGGACCTTGCCAGGGGAGCTGAATTACACCCTGCTCACGTGCCATAGTCTGAATGCACATAATGTTTTACTGTGTAGATTACATCCAGCTCTTCAGAGGTGAAAAGCCAATGCTTCCACCCACTGCGTCAGCAATCTCCCTCCCCTCCCTTAGGCCGGGACTCCATATGCATTGGCTGGCATTTGTGTTGGGGTCCTCACATAACAGATGGACTCTCCTAGGTTAAAGATCCCTCCCTTTGAGAAGGCTCGGACGGTGCTAGAGGCTCTTCAGCATCGGAAGCAGGTGAGGAGGGTGGAGAAGGCTCACGCACATGCACAGAAATGTTCCAGCTCATCACATAGAACTCGGGGTTCAGTGCTCGCCCTGTAGCGCCTGAGGATCTGCAGCCCCAGTTACGAGTTGTAGCTTTAACCTTAGAACTTCCACCGCTTCTGGTTCGGGTCCTGTTGCTCTTTCTTCTTGTTAGAAGTGGCTGCTGTCTTGGAGGTGGATCCTCACCATGAATCAGGAGGCCAGACACTCTGACTTCAGGGCCTGTTCTGTGTCTCACAAAATCCCTTCTTACGGGGGATTCTCAGTTTAATTCTTCAGCCTTTACCTCCTCATGACATGCGGCCACGCTGCCATGGCCTGGAGTCTGTCAGATCGCCCCGCTCAGCCATATCATTATGTCCATGGCTTGGATAGGGGACCTGTGCAGACAATAGTGCTGCCCATTTAGTAGCTGGCTCTGAGTCAGGTCTGGAGCAGGCAATCCCCCAGCATGGGGTTTGGAGGGGTGGTTTTCTGGAGAGCTGTGAGACAGGGCCGGTTCCCATGTGGTTGTTAAAGCTCCTCTGGCACCTTGTCCAAGCAGGGATGTTAGCACCAGAACTCGCCAAATCCCAGCTCTGCTGACTGCATTCTGGCTCCTCAATTAGCCACGCAGCTTGAGCAGGAGATGGAATTCTTCCCTCCCCGTGCTCAGACTTGCTGTGGGCTCTTTAACAGTTCAGTGATTGCATTTGGCTCCTCCATGAAGGAATCACTCGCTTCCTCGTGTGTTCTACAGCACGTGTATGGTAAGTTTATAAAGCACGGTGGGGTCCTTTGGGAGGACAAATGCTACGTAAATGTCTGCTTATCCTCCAGTGCCTTTAACTCCTAGGAGTTGCTCTGCAAAAGTGCTGCATGTAAAACTTGTTTGCAAATCTTGAGCCAGATGGACCATGACTGCCTATCATGGCATATACGTCTATGGCTCCTGTGTTGTGTATACATTCTCCTTTGCTGAGGGGGACTGCACTCTGCCTTGTACAGTAGCCACTTGCATATTTTGGTCACTTGGCCATTCCCTCCCCCTACCAATCTCAAATATACTCAAAGGTATTTAGGCACTGAACTTCCACTGATTTCAAGGGAAGTTAGGAGTTTAAATACCTTTTGGGGATCTGGGCCAAAGATCCTAGTTCGCTGTGAAAATAACCCATAACTAAGAGGACCACAGTAGTTTAGGCTCCAAATCTGACTATTCTGGTCT